AATATCAGTGATGCAAGTTAACTAGAAGTAATGTAATACGTACTGACCAATACCACAGGGTCAAGGGTAGCATTGGCGTTGATTACTATATTGATGTAAGTCAAAGGGGGAGGGAAAATATTGGATTTCGACCGGAAATTGGATCAGGAGAGACTATATGCTAGGAGGAAGTGTATGGATTAGAAATTAGTATTGTTAGTACTATTAAGACTTAGTTTAACCCATATGTTATCAAAATATATGATATTACCTCATATTCTGATTGTACTAGTAAACCAACTGCCCAACAACCCCTTGAAACTCACTAGTCATAAACATTGTATTTCATATTAACATTTATGTTTTGTAGAAATTTTACAACCATAAGAATTCTCATAATACTTTCTTTGTGTAAGTAATTATTACGCAGTAGGTTTTCATTTAGGTTTTAATTTGTTCATAATTTTTCCAGTGGAAATATGTTAAATATTCATGAAATTTAATGTACTGTACATACAAGGATACAAGGAAACTTTAAGGTTAAAATTCATTCCAATGGGGGAAATTAAATGGCTATATATATAACAATATGCAAATAATGAATGTTTATGAGTGTATTGTGGTAGAATATTGCATGAGGTGAAAGATTGGATGTTCTATAGTTCAATGAAGCGTAGCCAAGTTGAATAGAGCATCCAATCTTTCACCTCATTAGATATATACCCCATTGAATGAGAACATTCATTATTTGTTTTATAACACACCTACTTAGATCCTTACACTTATTACTATTTATATCATATCAAAACAAAAGCACTGTATTATTAATGTTATGAATACAAGGGCAGTCTTATGCATAGAATTCTTTGATTGCTAGTTTTTATCAAGGTGTGGAAGTGGAGATGGAGCAGGTTCAGAATGGATCAGTATTCATCCTGGTTCGGTTAAGGAGAAAACTTTAAAGGAATTCCTGGACCATGTCCAAGTCTTTGTCACTGGTAATGATATGGATGTGTGTCAGAACAGGTCAAATATCCAGTTTATTCATAATCCAGTCACTTATTACCCATTCCATATCAGTCAGCATTTTTCTTTTGGCTTCCGATTCTTTCCCCCCTTCCCAGGACATAGCATTTGCAAATAGGTTTAGTAATATGAGACATCTTTTATATTCTCGAGATGGATATATTTAATATTTTCTTCTGTTGCGCTGATAAATTGACCAATCTGCAAATCAAGGTGGAATTAGGAAAGAGGAAGTTTAAGTGGAGATGGTTTAATCATCAAGTGGTAAAAGATATTCTTAGAATAAAGAATCTGTTACTTTCACTGTATTTAGTACAGATTATATCAATATTCTGACAAGATATTGAGAATATGTAATGTAATATTAATTACATTTTTATAGTACAATAAATAAAATATTTATGATATCATGTATAAATACATTATGTGTTAACAATGGAAGTTTCATATATAATATTTAAGCACAAGGTACTAAATATTTTAGTGTATCTCATTTTGGCTGAATATGGCAGAAAAGTATAAATATAGATTGCAGTATGTATAGTATGTCGGTAGAAGAAGTGGAATGCGGCTTGCAGTGGTCAATGATCCTGGATCATGCAGAGTGTGCCTGTTACTCTTAATTGTTCTCTCCATCCACATTGGCCTATGTGTGATCAATTTTACCATGTTGCGTGCTGAAAACGAATTTGTACTGTTTATAGCAACCTGCATAAACGAAGTATTTCTGGTTAAAATTTGGAACCATGTGGTGCTACTGTACTGAGTTGGTGTAGTCATTTATTTAATATAAAGATTATATGGTCCACTGTACTCTCATGTCCCTGCTGACTGTAGGGTCAATACTCCAGCCACTTACATGGGTCACAATTGACCAATCATCTTAATTTGCAACTTCCTGTTTATTCAGCTGCCCATGTTGATAAATTATTCAAACAAAAAAGTTTGCTCCAACATCAGGAACTGAAGCAATCAGACTTTTACAATTCAATATAAATGAAAGACTTCTAATTTGATAATTTATAAATATAAATGAAAGAATTTTACCCAATAACTCTTATAATATTATTTATGTATTTATTAACAGTCATGGAATTAAATATTTTCCCAGAATGGGGAAAGTCAGCAAAATATTTTTATCAGTAATCCTTTAAGATACCTTCATAGCCCAGGGCAGCGCTATTTGTTCTCTCCTGGGCTATGGCAGTTGGTCTTTTCTTTTTCTTCTTTGCTTTTTTTTTTTCAATGTTTGTTTTTTTGAAGAATGTTTTGAAATGTTTTTATACTTGTTTGCCCAAACTATTATAAAATAAATAAATAGTTAATTTTAATTGACAATTAAAATATTACAAAAATGTGTTAGTCTGTTATAGAATAATATAAGAAATGACAACAGCTCTTTTAAGACTATCTTGTATACAATTTATTCTATAGCCTTTGTCCACACAGCATACTTCATCAAACAACAAAAATACAGTAATACTAAAAGGAGAGTATCTGGGGTTTTTGTTTTTTGGAGTTTAATGTGTTTTTTTTTTTTTTCTTTGTGCAAATGGTTACAAAAGGTTTTAAAAATATTTCTTATTTAAAATTGGCTAAATATAAGTGTTAACATAGCTTTTATAAATGGTATTATATTTGAAATTTGGTTGGTTTAAAATTCAGTATATTTTGTTGGAAAAAATATGCAGTGTAAATTTCACCAATAACAATTGAAAGAAAAGATGTTAATCAACATTGTTGATTTTCATTTTTATAAACTACAGTAACTACTGTATGTCATATTGAGTAAACACAAGAATAATCTTAATCATTTTATTTTGAAAGTTATTTTTTATATTTTACTGAAGCATGATGTTTATTCCTCACTTTCCCAAGTTAAAATAAGTTCAAGGACAATTATTGTAAACTTTAGACAGGTTTTCCAACAATTGCCAGGTATCCCTCTGCTGCATCTAGCATAGGTTTGAGCAGTGTGAAGTTAACCTGGTCACATTGATGAAGATAGAACTATGGTTATTTTGTAAGATTTTGATCTAGAGAGTCAGGATTTTTTGGTTTCATCTCTCATATGGACGGATTCAGGGGATAAATAGCTAGCCACCCCAACTCTTTAAAAAAAAAGTCTTGACTAGGGCAAGTCCTCAGACAAAGTACTAAAAACAAATTAAAATTCTTAAAGTCAGTATACTATACCTTGTAAGAACATTTTGGTGGCTTAAATTTGAACAAATAATTTACAAAACAAAAAATTAAGTAGGACAATGGCCTCGTTTGTCCCAGCCATGGACTCGCTTTCCTCACACTAGGTCTTGGCTAGGGCAAGTCCTCAAAGTACTGAAGACAAAGTAAAATTCGTAAGTCGGTATACTGTACCTTGTAAGAACATCTATGGTGGCTTAAATTTGAACAATAATTTACAAAACAAATTAAGGGGGAAAATGGCCTCTAATTTAGAGTCAGCCAAATGATTGAATGGTATTCACTTTCACCTTCACACAAGCAATGATTGACCATTGCCTGTTATTGATATAATCATTTGACCTCTTGCGAAGTCAAATAATAATATTCACACATTGAGATTAATAATCCAAATTCAAATTGTTATATTAATCGCTGTTTGCCATTGGGTATTGGTCTTTTGTAGGGAGAGCCATGCTGTCCTCATGCTATTTATTAACCAGTCAAAAGCATTACAGTATACAACATGAACTTAAGTAAGGTCACATATAGGTTAACATGGCTACCAGTGGTAATGATGTAAATGATAAGATCAGAGAGAGATTACTACAGATATCACAATTTGCAATTGGTGTGGCTTGTGGTGACATTCCTAGGGGGTCTCTAATATTATCACTTGGAATAATTGTCAGGTAGTGCTGTACTTCACAAGGTGTGACAGATATACTGTATATAAACAATGATGTCAGAATTTACTTCTCCAATCAGGACATTACCAGGACAATAAACTACTAAGGTTAATACTGTAGTAGTAGTGTGGTATTGTACAATATGATGTAGAGGAGGAAGGATGCTAAAAGTTTGCATATATTTTCATGTATTTTGAAAGAACTAATTTATTTATCATTAGGCCCAATAAAAAAAAATTATTAGTTTATCACCCTCGCGTGCATGTCTTTTATGGTACTGAAAAAAAAAAGAAAAAATTTGAAAAAAATGTTTTTTTGAAATTCTATTTATTTATTATTTTCATTTATTATATTAAGTAGTTAGTAGATATTGTTTGCTTTATCTAAATCATGTTTTACTTTGAATATCAATGCACCAGCAAACAACCTAAGGGTGATATTTGGCTTTAGCAAAATAAATAATAATAAAAAAAAAAAAGGTGGTCTCCATTATTATGTAATGGTGATCACCATTATTATGTAATGGTGATATTTATGTTAATAGAAATATTTTTTTTTTTTTTTTTTTTAAATTAATAAATTTAAATATTTAATTTATTCCAATTTTTTAATCTGGGAGGTGGCATTAATAATGTTATTGATATTATGTGAAAAAGAAATTATAAAACAACATTTAGAATGATATCAGTTATAATCCTACACTGGATGTAAAAATTATGATTTATTTGCACCATATTTTGTCAAAACAATTTTTTAATCATGTAGGATGTTTTTGTTTTAGTAAATAAGGAAATGCACAATGTATGCAAGACATTCACTTTCCAGTATGTCTGAAACTTCGTAAATATGTACCAAGTTTTGCATATGTTCTTTTTTTAATTTTTTACTCATCAAATCTCACCCTACATCTAGCCTGAAAGAATAATAGCATTATTTGTTAGACAAAAGTATTTTCTACTGGTAAATTGAATAAATGCTGGTAGTCATTTTTTTAAAAGTAATTTTGTTTTAGCAGATGTTTAGATATACTGTAGTTCAAGTTATTTACTGATAGAATATGAACTTAATTTTTACCTAAAAATAGTTGGTACTTTTTAATAAATAGTATATGTGGTGATCTTTCAGGACCTTCAACCACTTGTACTGTGAGTTTGCTAGCCTACAATGAAAATCAAGATGGCAGTAGGACAGTACAGGCCATCACTACACACACAGCATCTGGTAAGCCTTATTGTCAAGGGCCAGCACAAATACTTTCCTGTCTGGCCCTATTTTTATAACTCCCCTAGGTAAATAATTTGTTTGTGGATTTTTGCTCGATTCCAGCACTTTCTCAGTTGGGAAGTAGTGAAAAATTGTGTAAGCTTGTGCTGATAAAGCCATATAAAGTATGAATATTAAAATGGAGGATCAAGAAAATTATATACTGTAGTGTAAATTATAATTTGAACAAATAAAATATTTTAAAATTATTTATTGATATTATCATTAAGAATATAGTTATTGTACTGCTAATTTTTAGTATTATTATGATTTAAATACTGGAATAAGAGTGATAAAATAAAACTATAATATCACTTGTATTAAACACTATTTAAAAGTTGAGCCATTAGGAAATTTAAAAATATCAATTTGGAGAAACAAATTGTTATTAATAAAATAGTAAGATGATGATTAAGACAGTGATTTTCTAATTTAAATAATCAATATTGTTGCTGTTGTTGTTTCTTGAATTTACCAGTATGTGTTTCTGGTTTTTTTTTTCCTGCGCCAAATGGATATTGAATTTCCAATATGTTATGATAGACAATAAACTTTATGTATCTTATCTATCTACCTTATACTGAGAATGCCTGAATTCTAGAAACATCCTATTGTAGTTTAACAGACACTTAATATATCGCTCGCATATTCTTATAAATCCACTGTCATTGTGTTGATGATGCCATACAAAGAATAGTTTAAAAATTAATCATGACAATATTGGTAAGGATTTATATAGTGTAAATAATATTGCCACAGAGTATTAAGGGAGAGATAAATGATTAAATGTGAGCTGTTTGGTTGAGCTTGTTGAGTGGTTGACATTTCCAGACAAAAAAAACTTTGCCAATGGCTTGTCGGTCGTTGGGCAAAGAGTGGCCTGACATAATGAGTGGAACAAATTGAGAAATAAATTGGGTAGCCTAATATAACATTATAATATAATAGTGCATTAGTTTCCTTAACATAAGCCCATCACTTGAAATTAAAATTGGGTGAGATTTAGAGGTAGGCTTTTCAAGAAAATGCAAACAAGTTTGCCTGTGCTCTAATTGCTAGATAAATCTAAGTACCACAGAGACTCTAGCCTGGTTGAAGCCTAGGTGCAGGCCTAGCTAGAATTATGATGCTAAACCTCAATGCAATATAATTCATACTTGTTTCATATACCTTACAATAATTTCTGTCCATAATCTCTGAAGTTAGGAGGAGGGAGGGATGCGGCTTACATCAATAGAGCATTTATAAAAACTACTCAAAAAAATTGAGATGGTCTTGTACCTGTGGTGGGTTTATGCCGAGGAAACTATGGCAATACTAATAATGAGAATGTTAATTAATAATTAAAATTTATGCATTGTGTTTTTTACACAGGGTCACCGTGGGATCCTAGCATCATGCCAACTCCGATACACGTCAATGCAACGGCCATGTCATCGACCTCGGTAATCGTGACTTGGAAATGGCCGTTCACAAACTTAGAAGTGACAAGGTACATCATCATGTATGGAGTCAGTAGCACCCCTAGTTTTGGTATTGGTGATGAGCAATGGCGATTTGCTTATTTCATACCCACGAGGTAAGAAGAGTGATAGCAATTTAGGTTAAAAAATTCCTACCTAGTTTTGTTTTTATGATTCTTGGAGATAAGCCAAAATGTTATGTTATCTTATTGCAGGGGTGGGCATTAAACTGGGTTGGAGGGTGAAGGTGACTTTTAATTTAACACTGATGGTCACATCCAAACTTTGACATTTCCAGACAAAAACCTGCATGCACTGCTTTTATATCACTTTATACTCAGTTTAAAATTACTAATGATGTTTGGCCTCGCACAGTTTGGACATTTAACAAAATTATCGTCAATTTTTTCACGAAGCCTACAGGCCACATTTAACTTACCTGTGCCTTATAGTTGTTTGGCTTCTACCTAGGCTAGCTTTGATCACATTATGACATTTTCGTCACATCTATGATTTACTCCCTTTTGTTTTATAAAGCCTGATATACTTCCTACAAGATTTCCTACCTAATGTTTTTATACTAATATCCTATACCAAGTCTCTGTGTATATATACCTTTATTCGGCTCTTAGGGGGAAACTCTTTTGTCTATGATTTCGCCTTAACGTCGCTTTAGTTTCCCCTTAG